GAGAACGAAAACGCAAAATGAGACTAAAAAAGAACAGGGAACGTCTCTTGAAACGTTGCCTGTTTTTCCTTTGCGTTTTCCATTTCCTACCCCAGTCTCAGGTTTAATAATTGAAAAAGAGCGAGTTGGTGAATAGATACGAATACATGGAAGGATAAAACTTGAAGGAAACGGGACTTCTTGAAAGAAGTCCTCTTTCCGTCCCTGTCCTCAATGTTTCATCCTTTCATGTATTCGTATATCAAGTTTACCATCATGTTCAACTTACACCAGCTCGCCTACACTCCGGCTATTTTTCCGTTAATAGTAAATCTGCACGCGAGGTTGTGTGACGTAAGCATGCCGTACAAGGTACTCAAGTAAAGCATAACAGGATAAAGCTTTTCGTCCTTGAGGCGTGCGCTATACACATTCGCGTCTTGCCACGTTAAAAGAGCAAAAGAAACATGAAAAAAATATCAGTCACTGGCAAAACATTTAAAGCGTGCGAAACAAATTTAAGTCTTACAGAAAAAGAACCCTGGTGGAATGCCTTGGCAACCAACTGTGAACTCCCCTGTTCGCTGAGCTCACTTCGTCGAACGTTCGCAACGTACCGAATTTAAATAGAGATTGTTTCTAACATACCGTTCCTTATTTTTGACGGTGCAGGCAAGCCCTCGCGATATAAAGATCACCCGGATTTCACACCTTCCAAGTTTGTTTACACAATCCCGTGCGTTCGCGCGGTACACAGGAAGGCGAAGTGACGGATGCAATAAGCTTTAATAACAACCGATCAAGGAGAAAAATCAGCTGTTTGTAGTGGCCGAGTTTTATGAACGGAACTCACAAGCTCCGCACAAGGTGGATGGTTGGGTCGGTATCGAAACTGTTCACCATTACCTTCCTTACATAACACTCTGCGACTCTGCCTTGAAAGCAGGCCCCCTTTTTAGTTGCTTGTAAGACGCGACACCTAAGTGACGATTAAGTGACTCCGAGTCGATGATAGGAAGGATGCAGCGTCGGCGGTCTGTCCATCCTTGAAGGTATAGAAACGAACGAGGTCCTCTGTATCGTAGACAGCGGCTTTTATTAATTTTCCAGGGTCGTCCCCAGCCATTTCGAAGAAAATATGAACGCGAAACGACGACGGAAAGACACGTTTAGAATGGTAAAAGACGGAACAACGCCACCAGAGAACACACGTAAACAAACACATAGACCGGGAGATACGCCACCCCTGCCGCGGACGGCGGAGAGACTGTCCCGGAGCCACCAAAAGTGTTTCGAGCGATTCCCGCGAGGGCGCGCCACGATCGTGGCCAAACTATGAAAAAGGTTAATTACGGACGCTGTTTTTTTTTTTAAACATCTCTTCTGCGCCAAGTATCGATAGAACGTACGCAATCTATACCTGTTTAGAGGAATCTATGTCGAGTCTTGTCAAGTGTAATACTAAAAAAAAATGTGACTCGCTGACCATAATATTTTTAAATAGTCAAAGATGCATTTTCGAATGATTATGATCGAAAACTTTGAATTTTTGTCAAGTATATTTTGAGGAGTATGACGATTGAAATCCTACTACATAAAGCGTGTGTCACTGCGTTTCACACGACACAAAGTATAATCTTCTTGTAATCTTTACATTCAGTAATAAACCACAAGAGAGTGAAAGTTTTCATCTTTTGTTTACGTTTAAAATATAAAAAATAAAGAAAATCCTGCGTATGTACCCCACCGCCTGAAATCAAATGACTCAATTGTTATCTCAACTCAAAACTGAAACATAATTACCAAGTGATGAAATGTGACAACGTGTATTAACATTGTTTGAGTATGACCCCATTTGTACAAATTGGCACTAATAGGTATGGCCCCATTGACGAACGACGAATCTGGTTGAATGATCCGACCAAAACAAAATATTTAAGATGTAACTTATCAAACATTAGGTCGCTAGTTGAGATACCACCTTTATAATCGTCGGACGGGTGCGGTTTGCTATCCACTACGTTTCCCTGGACGATCCTGGTGAGCACATCTAGGACTTTGAGTTATATTGATGCAATAAAATAGGTTGCGTTGCGCCTTTAAAAAGCAAGAAGTTTTTACTTTAAAAAAATCTGGAGTTTCGGAACTCCCGCTAAGCGCTGCGTTAGCCAAACGCTGCAATCTACGGGGGTCTCTCGGCCAATGACGGGGCTTCTAATATGTGTAAAGCAAAAAACAAAATTCCAGTAGAATCAACTATGTTCCTGTCTAATTAAGCTTTCTTTGTAATGAGATCCGAACACTATTAACGAAATTACAGTCAACGCGCAGACGAGCTGGTGGAAGTTTATCATGTTTACCAAATTCTTCCTCCTTCTGCCTCAGTCTCGGGCAGGGACGGGCAAAATACATGCAAATATGTATCGAAATACAAATACAAAATACTTCGTCAAAAATGTATTTAATTACAAATATAATTACATTTCCAAAAAAAGCATTTAAATACAAGATACAAATACAACCAAATGTATTTGGTCTCGTCCAAATACTTTTACAAATAGATTCCTCAAAATTTGCGTCAGCGACTTCAGGGCTCTTGCAACGGGCTTCTGGGTATCTCATGTTAATTTTGCATCGTACACTCCGGAGTTAGTGTGCGAGGCTCTAGTAACGTAATGTAAATATAATCACAAAAAAAAGTAATCAGCTTGGACGTAATAGGTGAAAAAAGTACAGAGCTTCAAGCAGCTTGTTTTGTCGATTACATTTTGGTATAGACCAACAAAGAACCGAGACGACCAAGACGCGCAGCACTAGCCAGAGAATTTTTTATTGTTGCAACTCGCACCAGTTATGAAAATCTGGACGACCCGCGCATTTGGAATGTTCCAGGCAAAAATATGGATGGAAATCAGGCTGGAAAGCATCACAAGTTGTCACAGGCACTTATTTAGCCAGTCTGCCGGTGAACGTCGATTTCCTCACGGTTCTTGCCCTGGACTAGCACCGTAATCACAAAGTCACTAAGCGCTTGTGCTTGATTGAGAGACACTGCATTCGGTGCAGAACGTAGTTTTGTTCCTGCTCAGGACACGTCTTAGGATGACCAAAATGAGTCGTGACAATAAATTTGAGGGATGTATTTTCGCCCACAAAATTGTATTTAATTACCAATTGTATTTGAAATACCCACGTTTTAGTATTTAAATACACAGGTCAAATACATTACCCAATTTGTAATTAAATACAAATGCAAAACACACAAAGTATTTGAAATACGTATTTGAAATACTGCCCATCCCTGGTCTCGGGTTAAAAATCATGGTAAGCGAATACCATATGCTGTAAAAATATCTTACAATTTTCTTTACTAAACTTAGCGGGGAAGCTGAATTGGTGTTGAGGTCACGTGATGTCCATTTTCTCGCTACATTTAGCGGGGAAACTGAATTTGAGTATACGTAACGTGACATCATGTGGCATCATTTTCCCCGCTAAATTTGGCGGGTAAACTAAATTTGTGTATCGGTCATGCCATATGAAGTCACGTGACCTCAGTTTTTCCCGTTATATTTAGATGAGAAACTGAATTGGTATTGATGTCACGTGACTTCAATTTTACCGCTAAACCTAGAGGAGGAAACTGAATGTGTATATAGGTTACTTGACATTAGGCCATACGACGGCATTTTCCCCGCTAAATATAGCGGATAAAATAAACGGCAAGAACCATACCTCAAAGTGACCTAAGATCCTAGAAAAGCTCATTGCTTAAAAAGAACTGTCTTCACTAAGCTCAGTGCCACAGCGCGAACCGATATTATGTGATCTTAACATATTATCAGCCCCGTCATTCGCCGAGTTATGCGCCCTCTGTAAATTGCAGCGATTGGCTCTCCCGAGCACTTTACGGGAGAGCGGGCGCTTTACATTGCTTAGACTAATTACTTAAAGACTAAACGCGCAGTTGAGCTGACGCGAAAAATACTGAAAATTCGAGGAAACAATTAAAACCAAACGAGTAAAACACGACAGCGTCTCCAAACACAGTTGCATGAAAATACCTCGTCTGCTTTTCAGTAAAACCAAGAGAGAAACAACAAATTATTATGAACATTGAGGCGAGCTCATATCGGTCGTCATTATACGTCCTTCGCTTCGGATAGGCCTGTTTGCATCACTGTCTGCTACGCCCTTGATCTGTCTGAAATTAAAACGTGTACATGCGCAGCAGCGGTGTTGAATTAAACTCGCTTATTTCACTGGGTACCCTCCGCTAATGCATTCTAGGCTCTCGCACCTTGTCACCGCCACCGCACTTGGCGCCACTTACCGACCCCCCCCCCCCCCCCCCTCCCCCGCCCGACCCCCCTCTCTGCATGATCATGTTGAATAGCATGTCGCTGAGAGCTTAAGGAACGCGGGGAATGACTCATTGTGTTCACGGTTCTTGCTTACTGTATAGTGATTTGTGAATCGCGGAGCTACCTTCACGAAATGGTTTGCGTGTACCTGCCGACGTTACCTCCGCGAAAATGTCTGCGCCCCATACTCATCGCGCTGTCGTTAAGGCACGAGCTGATAATAATTCTCTAGACGCTGTCGTGGTTTGGTCTCTGATCGGGATAGTTATTTTCTTTATGTCGGTACAAAAATAGCTTTTGTACGAAACGACATCGAGGGAACTCTTTGTTTAGTTTGATCTCGGATATAAAAAAAATTACCCCGACTTTGTGGGTTCGAATTCGTATGTAACAAAAGCACGTGCTAAAAACAAGATAGTTTATTTGCAGATTTTTATTACAATAAAACATGCCGCATAAATATAGTTTTCGTCACCAAGCGAGAGAATGCGGTTTTTAGCAAGTCGGGCTCTGGTAAATTGAAAAGGGATTTTACTAACCAGTGTGTGAAACTACACACCATTTTTTTACGAATATTAGTTAAATACATGATTGCGGGCAGATAAGCTAATGAAACTCGACATTTCCGCTCCTTTTGTTTTAGGTATTCTGGGAATTATGGCTGTCCGCACAGCAATGATGGATGTTTGGCTGGATCAGAGCGTCACGGACAGTCCAGGTATGACACTTTCATTCCTGCTTTGAACCCTACTATACTAGTCGTTACTTCCTTCAGTTAACACGCCTCTGAACATGACAACTTCGGATGTCTCCGGGCCAAGCGTTCATTTTTTTTTTTATCACTATGGTTTAGTTAACGTGCCCCTGCAGCCTTCTGCGCAACGCGGCCATACCTTTTCGGGACAAAAATAAAATCTGGTGCCACAGTGTGGCCATACCTAAACGATCACGCAGAAGCACGAATGTATCTCAGTCTTGTGCTTCGTTAGATTCACTAAGAGTTTAACAAACGCAGGGCACGGTCAAACCATGATCAGGCTTGTTGCTTCCTAATTGGGTGGGCGAAATTGCTATCGGCAAACGTCACACCTTCATTGGCTCCTTAGCGATGATAGGATGCGTCGCCGCACCCTGCGTTTCTTGAGCTGTCGGGGGCCATAGCTGATTGTGTTATCTAGAATAACATATTGAACTTCGTATAATGTACTCCTTAAGGAACTGTATACGGACGAGCATTGTTTCAAGCTCGACATTTATGATCGACATCACGGAAGTTCTGGAGAATAGTAACCCGGACTCGGCACGTTTAAAATCTATCCTTGCGTGTCATGTTCTCCGAAGGAGCCCAGCTGAGTCTGTTACATAAGGGGAACTTTTGAAGCTACGAATAGTAATAGGAGATGCCACCTTAGAGAGCAAACAAGAATTCACTAGCATAAGAACAACCAGAGTTAAAATCTTTAGTTTCATAAGGCAAAAAAAAATGCGTAGACATTTTGAGTATTAAAAAGAAAAGTTTAAGACCAATTGAACGCCAGAACTGGGAGGGTACACTGCGTGTCTTAACACAAACAATCGATTGCCAGTAGTTTTTTTTCTCAGGAGTAAAGGGCTGACATAAAAAATACTGATATGGTGGAAAGTAGTCTTGGGGCACTAGCCTAAGCAATAAAACTTGAGGCGAAAACAAAACAAACAACACTTCGCCTTTAAAAGTATCGTGATCAGTTTTTTGTTTTTTTAATTAAGAATGTGTTTTATAGGCTGCTCTGGTATTTACGTTTGCACGCATGTCGCTGTTTGCGACTGGTGGAGTTAATTGTAAGCCGTTAGCGGCCTGCGCCTACATGATAGATGCTTATTGTAACTCGACGCAGCTTGTGTGGTCTCATAGAGAGTAGTTATTGCTTGCACTCAATATTACACGTGAAGTGTCAAACGTTTTATGCGTTTTATTATGGTACGTTGTAAGCGACCTATTATTTTTTCGCTCGTCAGCTTTTGCTGAGCACTTGTGCTAAGGACAGTCTTCGACACGTTACTCTAACACCTAATTCTTTACAATCACAATGACTCTTGGTTAAAAAGCATTTAACTAATTACCCGATTACTTGAAAAGAAAAGTAACTGGTTGTTACTTGAAAAAAGTAACCTTTACTTTTCCCATTACTTTGGATTTTCAAAACGACATATTTTTCTGCCGATTTGATTAAAAAAGAGTCTTCGTTCTGTTCGAAATTGGATTAGAATTACTCAACTATGAACTGGTTATCTTCATAATCCACCAATTTTGGTAAGAAATCCTCCCGTCAAGGACTTGGTTCGAGGAGACCTTGTTGGAAAATTTATATAAACTAAGGAAGTCGAATGAAAAATAGTAACAGTTACAAGTAGCTTTAGTACTTCAAAAAGTAATCAGATTACCCTTGTGATTACTTGCTTATAAATGTATTCAAATTATTTCAAAATTACTCCAAAAAGTCATCGATTACAAGTACCTAATTTAACTACTAAAAATTAGTACCGTCAAAGTTTGGCTAAGGCGGAACAATAACACAAATACAACGATGTTCATACAAGCATATCAAGATCCTTGACTTATATGTTACTGTTCCTCTTTGTTTCGCCCATTTTCCTGGGCAACAAAAAGTTTCAATAGTAAATTTTGGAAACAAACAAATATCTATTCTGAAAAAGCAACCTTGAGAAAAAGAGAAACTCTCTCTCTCGACTCAGCAGCGCACCTTGGCAGCGAATCGGTCCTGATTATTTGCCGATCCAACCGCGTGTTTGAGATCGACGCTCTCCTCTTTGACGTAGCCGCCAATCCCTTACAAAAATGATCAATTAGTTTCGATTGAGTTTCAAATGTATTCCTATAGAGTAAATCGAAGCTCAATATAAACTCCACGTTTCATGAGTTTCAAATAAGAAACTCATTATCGATTCTCTTGAATTTCCTGATTAGGAATGCAATTGAGTTTGGTCATAAGAAAGTCAATATTGATTTTATTGAATTTACTCATTAAGAATGCGATTGAGTGTAGTCATTAAGAACGCAATATATATTCTTTTGAATTTACTCCTTAAAAATGCAATTGAGTTCGGTCATAAGAAACTCAATATCGATTTTATTGAAGGTACTCATTAGGAATCTAATTGAGTTTGGTCATAAGAATACAATATATATTATTTTGATCTTACTCATCAACAATGCGATTGAGTTTGCTCATCATGAACTCAATATATATTCTTTAGAATTTACTCATTAAGAATGCCATTGTGTTTGCTCGTTTAGAACTCAGTATCCATTCATTTGAATTGACTCACGAGACATGCAAACGAGTTTGAATTTAGCGACTGCACCGAACGATTATTCCTTGTACCAATGTGTTTTTGTTTTGATTTGTTTTTACTAAGGGATAGCGTCTAATGACGTCGAAACACTGTTTATCATTTATAAGACTTCCGAAGAGGTGGTCACCTGCCAAATGAAGGCCTTTAATATGTAAAGTATAAAAGGCGGTAGAGTAGTCAAGGGGAGTGTGATTAATGTGTTGTGAGAGCTTTATGATGTTTGTGCTCGTTGCCTTAATGTGTTTTGTTTCCTCCATGTTCCATGCTTTAAGGAACTTTTATAAAAACTCCCCACACGTTGCAGGATTTTTTTAAACGCAGTTGCAAACAATTTTATTTAAACACAGCTGCAAAAATTCGATTGAAACTCAATTGCAAACATTATATTGAAACACTATTGCCAAAAATATAATTAAAATGCAATTGCTGAAAATTCAATTAAACGCAGTGGTCAATAAATACCATTTGAAGGTTCAATAGGACTTAAAATTAAAAAAAAGCTATTGAGTTTAGATTGAGACTAAACGCGGTGTATTAAGTGAATGCTCACACTTTTACTTGAAACTCATACATCTTTAAGGGATTTCACGTTGTTTCACGTGTTTGTAGCTATTTCAAAATGATGTCTGTGAGTCATTAAGTGATTAACTTTTCATTAAAGACAGCTAGTTTTTCCTAGTTTCTGTTGAACGTTAGATACCAATGGGATTTAATTTTTTTTAATGTCAAATTACCAAACATTGTGCAGCTGAAATTGTTTCATGAGCCCACGTAAATATTTAGTTCAGATGACTTAAGGAATTGCTAGAGCCCAATTCTTATTTTTCTTATTTATTCGTGGACAAAAACAAAAACAAAACAAAATATATTTGCAACTGATGTCCCATCTTTATTACCGTTCGCATGAACAATTCCCATCTCTATTACCATTTGCATGAACAAATAACTACACAGTTTTCTTTCTTCTAGTTTGCCCAACTAACGTCGTGAATCACTTAGTACGCTTCAACACGTTCAAAATATTTAAAACTTATTCGTTCACTTGTCCTGCTTCCACACAAAAAAAAGGGTCATAATAAACACGTCCCTCGGCATCAGCGAACTTATTTTCGTTTTGCAGGAAGCAGATCCAGCGCAGTACAGTCCGTTGAAGATGTCCTGTCTACGCTCAGTCTTGTGCGAAGACACGATCAGGCACTCGTTGACTCGCACCTCTACTTGTACACAGCCGACTCTGAACGGTACGCTTACGTCTGTGACAAGGGGTCATTACGCTGTATCCATTCCGTCACTAGTGGCTTGGACTTTCACTTGCCCTGTTTTCCGCGTAAGCTGCGAACCAGACAAGGGATGTTATTGTGAACTTCGAGCGTGTGGGGCAGCATACGAAACATTGTGCGGTATGCCGAACAACTGAAAAGTCTTTATTGATTAGGGGGCCTTAGTAAGGAGTGTTAGTAGATCGTTCCGATAACTCCGATAACGATATCTGACTCTCCGCCGTCGCTTTTGTGGATGCTTCATATCGTTATCGGGTGTCGTTCTAGGGGGTATCGCAAATATCTACTCAAGGTTCTTAATGTGTATACGTCTGTGTAAGGGTAGTGACATCAGGCCATTTTGAGACACGATGCTTCTTTATATGTTTTGTTCTGGAGCACGCGATACTTCTCCGTTATTTTTGGATTCCATTATTATAGTATTTTTACCGTTGTCGCGCGTTGTTGGTATCAATCACAACAAAGAGCGCCACTCCAAAAAACCATTGAGTCATCCTATACATGATGTTCCTATCGAAGCATTGCCTTCCACTGTGTTGTGTCAAGACAATGAAAGACATCTCTAACAACTGCTGACGTTTAATGAACGTCAGCATTTATCCGTGGGGGTATTGTTGTTCACGCGGTACCCGCGTTAACAAAGGGAAGAGGACGAGGTTGTTCGAGCTTAGCAGGAAGGGACAATCCAGCAAGTAACAAGTGCTGGTCTTACAAAAGGATTAGGTTAAAAATACCAGAGAAATCGAGCTGAAAAGAGAGTGAAATGAAAAACAGTGGTTTGAATACCAAAAACTCAGTTACAGCTTGTTTGATGTGTAAATATATTGCGAAAAGTTAATGAAATGTCGAGGCCCAGTTGGACGCTTATTCTTCGTACGACAGGTATAGACAACTTGGCAGGGTCTGAAGCGTGCCATCTGGTACTCTGTAGGCCATCTGTTAAAGAGGCTTATTTCTAATATTGTAGGTTGGCTAGATATTAATTAGTTATAACTATTTTCGGTTAATGCGAAAAAATAAAAGGTACAAAGCTTGGTGATTCGGACTGTCAATGTGTAAAATCAACGTCATGATGATGTATCGTATTTCCGTTCTTCACACCAGACTTTCATGCATCATTAACCTTTATTCGACTGGCTTCTTGACGGTAACCATTGAAGACGGAAACCCAAATTCTCCTCTCACCAACCAGGTCAGTTTGCATGAGTTTCGCGTAAAGGAAAAATAACGTTAGTCCCGTCAAAGGGGCGACACTCGGGAAGCATATACAACGTTTCGTATCAAAGAGCACAACATATGTGCCGCACTATGGCGGGCGTGTCGTACACAAAGGGGTGTTTTGGCGCACCAACAGCGGGCCTTTGTGCCATCAGACCTGCATGCATATTCGTCTATCATATTCAGCTTACGGGCACCACACTCCCACTAGCGCGCGCTACGCACCTAGTTTGCAAAAAATATTTCAAACTAATCTTTTTATATATATTTTCGTACCTCTTAGGTCATGGAAGAGCTCAAACTGAAGATAAAAGACAGCATCAAAACTCGGATAGCAAGGTACGACAGTCAACCAAGAATGGTGGGATGCCATATAAAGCAACCCTTATCACCGGTATTTGCCTGTGTGTGTGTGCTTCTGTAGAATTGTTACAAAAAATATTTGCTGCCCACTACTACTTTTAAAACTCTCCATCTTTTTTTTAACGCGCGATAGGTTTTCACTTTTAAAGTGGTATTTTTTTATTGTTACGGTTAAAAATCTTCATATTAGAAATATCCGAAGTAAAACTAACGTCCACGGCCCAGCATAAAATATCTGACTCGGAAAAACTCGTGGCCGTTCATGTTTGAAATGCTCTTGGTAAGTTCAGTATTCAGCAACGTGACACTTGGTATGTTTATTAATCTGGGGTAGGATATTAGTTGAATATTAAGATGGTTGGGCGTTTCTACTTGTAAACTCTACCCTTGTTATGATGCCCAACGACTTGGGTTTTATCTGGTCTCCTTCAAACTTTCTTCACAAATCATGATATAGGGTGACAAAGCTAGGATTCTTCAGGACGCAAACATTTCTTCAGGCATGAGGAATTCTTCACCAACCTAAAAAGCTTCTTATTAAAAAAAAGATCAAACAATTGTATCAAAATTATGTTTAGAAGAAGAAACAAAAAGCTCTCAAGTACCTGAACAAAAGTTCGGTTTGCAAAACTTTGTTCAGAAAGGAGTAAATAAGTTGCTCTTCAGCTCTACCTCTCTGTACACAACTTTTTCTGGCTCACAGTGGCTCTTTGTTATTGCATTTTTAGTCGATTTATTGAAAAATCGTGCTTTAGACGAACGTTTAGTGGCATTTTACCAACGTAAATAAATAAACAAGTAATATATAAGAGTGATTAAAGATTTTTGGAAGAAATGTTTCTTAGTGCGAGAGGGGCTTGCATTCTAGGAGGCGTTGGTCCAAGTGCCATTTCTCACAGTTTGGCAACTGCAATTGATCACGGTTGTTGCAAACTGAAAGCGCCCCCTTTCTCTGTTCAAGATGATGCACTCTCTCTCCTTTACCAGGTCTGAACTCTGCTCACTTCAGTGTGAGGCAAGGCCGTAAGTTTGGAAGCAAAAGTTAGGATTTCGAATATGTATACATTTCCTAGATACTTTCCGAAAGACTGTACGCATACTTTCAAACGTAAAGAAAAACACTTAGAAAGTTCTAATAACAATTCAATATTGAATAATCTCTTAGCCTGAACGTTTTGCATGAAAACATTAAGTTCATCTCAGTTCGGCACGCTGTTTGCACGACCCTGGTTTTGCTTCATCTGAGTAAGACATACATTTTAGTGTGCACTGTCTGTGTGCACATTGGGATGACTTTGCGGCAATCAATTAGTATGAAAGGACTGCTCTTCTGTAGCTTCTCAAGGATTAGAGAGTGCAGTATTATCGGTTGTGCTCTATAAATTTGTGTAGTTTTTTTTTATCTGCGCCCGATTTTGCAGCTGTTATTTTGATAAACTTGTTTTTGTTTTGTTTAATTGTGTTAACTAACAAAATATGACTAAAGTAATGTATATTTGCAGTCGTGTAAACTTAGAACAAAGTGAATGCGCGTTAAGTAAACTAGTTATTTAACAATTTAATTTTCGAGCAATCAATCGAATACATAATATCATTTATGAGCCAGTAATATTTTTGTTCTTAAATAACAGATTTTTATTATATTATTCATTTCTTACATCAATAAATAATTCATTGAGGTATATATTTTCTATTTAAAATGAATCACCTGTTCCCACAACATTTTCTGTAGTAAAGGTTTGTAACTCCGTTTTCCTCGTGAACCCAAAGGATTCTTTGTCCCGGTAAGCCCATAACGGGCGTAAAAACGCGAAATTGAACGGACAACTTCATACATCGTGCCTTACAATGATTACCTAACGATAGGCACTGTATCCTCACACTGAGAAAGACCGACACCTCAAGGCGGAAATCCTTGGGAAGTAAGCCCTGGCATCTTAGATTTAGTTAAAAGTATTTTGTGTCCATATTTTAAACGCTCGAGTTTGTATAACCCTGGTCAACATGAACGCTCCAACACAACGATACGGGGTGCTCGTTTACTGTCAGTACCCCTATACCACTTGCGAAATGACTCAAACCTTAATGCGCGCCGGGCTTCCACCATAGGGCAGCGGAACCCGGCACTCCGCGCTTATCACGCAATTTTACACTCCGCGTGTTGCTCCGCCCAACCGGAAGGTTGCGTGACAAGATCTGTGTTCTGGACAGGCTCCGGTGGCTTGTAGAGTCCCCAAAGGTCCATCCTAAAGTGCTTTTTGTAGAAGCTTGTTTTTGATGGCATATTGTTTGTTGGCCTTTAATCAATAGAAATGACCCGTTCTGGATGGCAAGAAGTCCAGCAAACTCGCAGCAACAGAAGTACACGGGCACTATTTTTTATTCGGAAAAGGGGGGGGGGGGGGTCTCCATTACCTTCATAATATTTTATCAATAAAAATAACTAATTACCTGGAGATTCCCGACGTTACTATTATTGCTAATTATAGTCGCAATGTGTATTATATTTTCGCAAAAAAAAAAGTCAAATCTTTGGGTGTAGGCGACGTAATACAGAAATTATTGTATGAAAACGCCGTCCGACGGCTCCCTCTGGTGTCTTCTCCAAGATGCAGAAAGAGGGGCGTGCCATGATCTTTGATTAGGTTTTGACCATATTTAGGCTACCTCCGAATCTTCAGGCTGTAAGGAAACGGAGCACGCCTCGTCCTCAACGAGGCGTGCTCCGTTTTGCTGAGCGTCCAGCGGGTGGCACCGATAGTAGCTTGCTCTAGACCTTATCACCCAGTTCGGCTAGGATATCACATCAAGCCCCAGAAATGTTTAGTGAATATGTTAGCATATAGTTGCTGTTCGTTGTAATACATAATAAAATATGTACCGTCTTGTCAAAACTACCGCCGTAAAGATCATACATTCAAGGACCAAAATGAAAGGGAATCTGTAGTTTTCCTTGCTCAGCCTGCAGTAGTGACGCTCTGGAAAAACATTGTTTCAAATTATTTTTTCCTTTTTAGAAATGATGTGTTTGCCCAAATTACAATATGTTTCGCATGACTTTTCAAGTTTATTTTCACATTAAATAAGATATCATTGCTTTAATGCTTATGTTTTGCCATTTTACTGCTACGTTTCGCTGTGTCGACTTACCGACAGAGCTACAAAACTGAAATGGCTATTACTAATTTATCTCGGCGGTTTTTCAGCCACCGGCGCTAGTACACCGATTTCAAACACCAAGAATATTCTGGCATTTCGTTTCTAGTGCTTTTTGAATATACTTTCATACATAAGTTTGTACGTCTGTCTTGGAATTGCAATTAATCACGCAAGCGGCACAAAAAAAAACGCACACACAGGGACATGAAAGTAAACGAACAAGGGCGCTTTGTCTACTTCCTTGTTCCTGTGTACTTCTTTGGCGCTTACATACTACATACGGGTTCAAGCGCCCTTGTTTGTCCACTTTCTTGTCCTTGTGTTTTAGAGCGCAGCTCTTAGGGGCCCGTTTCCGGCTTGAGCGGCGTCGGCGTCGCCGTCGCCGTTGGCGTCGCCGTCGCCGTCGGCGTAACCGCGAGGTCACGTGACCCCCCGAGGTCACGTGACCCCCCCTTCCGAGGTCACGTGACCCACCCAGGTCACGTGACACCCCTAGGTCACGCGACCCCCGAGGTCACGTGACCCCCTTAGGTCACGTGACCCCCAGAAGTCACGCGACCCCCTGAAGTCACGTGACCCCCTTAGGTCACGTGACCCCCTTAGGACACGTGACCCCCTTAGGTCACGTGACCCCCGGAGGTCACGTGACCCCCTGAAGTCACGTGACCCCCTTGAGGTCACGTGACCTCAAGGAGTCACCTATCCCTCAGTACGCTTCCATCTTCCTCCTCAAGAGCTGCGCTCTAACCGGCGTTACAGGGAATTGTAAACGGCTTTCATTTTTTTTTTTACCAACTGACCCAAATTGCCACTTTAATACGATTGATCGCAGAATTCCTCTCATCAAGCGAGGAACAACGGTGCCAAACTACTACACGACCTCAGACGAGAGAATTCTTGAGTACGACTTTGACAAGATCGTGTTTGAGGAGAACTCCAAGTACCAGCACGTCAAGATCCTTCACTCACCTACGCTGGGGAATTGCCTTCTCCTGGACGACTTGCAAAGTGAGCCTCATCGACATTCTGGGGCACTCGCCTCTTGAGCCCCCTCGCGAAAGTAGCGTCCCCCAAAAAAATGTTCAGTGTGTTTTCACCGCAAGAATAAAACAAGCATTGCCAAACGCGATGGACCCGCCCAAAAGTAGCGCGAATAGTACGGACGTCAAAGTTTCAAAACTAACCGTTATTTTTGTTCAGAAGTTTCGTGATTTTCTAAAACTTTCAATGTAAAAACGGGGCCCGTTTTTTTTTTTGTTTTTTTTTGTGTTAGTTTTCGCTATTCGGCCCGGTGTAAGCGTTGGCTTCGTCAGCCACCATTTTACCATTGAAAGTTTCCAAAAAAATCGCTTATAACTTTTGAATAAGATCACGGTTTGTTCTGAAACTTTGGCATCTGGTTCGAACCGCTAGCGCTACATTTGTGCGAAAACTGAGCGTTCGCGTAGTTAATTTCTGCGGTGAAAAAAGAAACAAACAGTCTTCTGTTTTCGGGGACAACTCGTACCCAACAAAACTCTGTAAAAAAAAACCAAAAACTGAATTTTAGCGTAACAACTGCATATATCGTAACATTCAGTGTTGTAGGCATTACCGAAAAAAAAGTAACGAAATACGTTACTCGTTACTTGCAAAATAGAGCAACGCGTTACCGACCTACGTTGCCCTCAAAGAAAGGAACGCGTTCCCATTACCGTTACCGATAAAAAGTAAGGCACATTACTTTTGCCTTACCTTTTATTTATTACTTGACGGTAACAGCGTTTTCTTTAAGCGGCAGCGTTTTTCGACGCTCGTACAAAGGGCGTGGGCGTTGTGGTAAAGACCGGCAAAATTTTGAAGCCATGTGGAATGACGAAAATAATCCTTGGAGAAGGGGGAACAACAGGGACAAAGGACAAACACAAATCTCCAAACACAGCTAGGTGACTGGTGCGCGACCGAAAAAATCCACCTGGTCCGGGTATCGAACCCGGGACCTCTCCATTACAGGTGGAGCTCTCTACCAACTGAGCTAACCAGGGGTTAGACGTCAGTAGAGCAAATGGGTTTTATCAGCTGCCACCAGTCTAGCACCAACAAGGGTGAAGCTTGCAATTTAAGGTTATGATTATAATGCAATTAAACGCAAAGGCGCAAGCGAACTGGACAAGAATGACGAAAATAATCCCTGAATTATTCTGTTTGTCCTTTGTCCCTCTTGGTCGCCTTCTCCAGGGATTATTCTCGTCATTCTTGTCCAGCTCGCTTGCACCTTTGCGTTTAACTGAATTATAATGTAGAATCAGTCCAATAATTAATTACATGGCGCCTATACGCTGCCGACACTACGAGCTAATGGGACTAATCAAGCAGCGTCAAAGTCACGGGCGTTTTTGTTTATGTACAGAAACATGACTAGTTTATGTAACGCGATGATAGAACACGTACATGATAGAACGAGTACATGATGGAAGACGTACATGACGAACACCATGATCAGCTCGTAGCCGCGGCCTCGTCTGGACTTACGGTAAAACAAAGTATAGAAACAAGAAAACATTTTTCACTTTTTTTCAGGTCTTGGGAAGAACATGTAACGACAAACGTAACAACGTTACCCGTTACTTGAAACAAGTAACGCAAATGCGTTACCCGTTTCTGCTTTGAAAATGTAACGAGTGCGTAGCTGCGTTACCGAAAAAATACATTAAAAAATAAAAATCACGAAAAAATAGCCTCGGCCAAAAAGTAACGCGTTACCGGTACCGCCGTTACTTGAAACCGCAAACACTGGTAATATTCCCCGGAATATTAGCAGTGTTAAAAAAAATTATAGAGGGCAGCAACAGAATATTATTGAGCATAGTTGTAACCCGAGACTGGGGATACGGACAAGGGACAAAACACAGAACGACAGGGACGAAGTCTCAATAACCCTTGCTTCATGAATATTATTATTACTCATTCGAAACTTAGAAACTTATAATGATTATTCCTAGGCCCGATATATTTGTTTGCATTGGGTGATAGGGAATTTCTGCCCAGCATATTGAAGGAACGTGATACTATTCCCGAGGATCGTAATCACGCGAAACACATATGCCGATGCCAAAACTAGATTTTCACTATTTCCAAGACTGCTTTTTTATTTCTCGTAATCTTTTAATCTTGGTTAGTTTCATGTTAGTATCGTACTGGTTAGTTTCACAAGTACTATGGTTTTAGTTCCTGTGAAGTTACCATTCCCTACTTTCCCGTGTACGCCAACGAACTAAGCCGAACCACCCCTTAAAAACGCTCCTGCTCAGGACCAACGTTACGCGAGGCGTTTGTAAAACACTTAGCTTTTAGATACTATAAAAGAACTTGTTGTTGGGCTAGTTGGTGTTGACTGTATTGAACCATGGTTAAAAGCGCTAAAAAAGACGTACACAAGATAGAAGACAAAAGCGCCCGTGTTTGTCTTCTATCTTGTATACGTCTTTTTTAGCGCTTTTAACCATGGTTCAATATAGAAACTATGCGGGGCATTGTAATGAAGCTAAAACAGAATATTTCGTAATGTTGGTCAAGTGCTCCTTTAATTCTTTACCAGAGTAAGAAAAAACTCAAATAGCAAAGCTATTTTTTTATCCACGAGTTTGTCTAATAAACAGTGCAAAACAAATTGTAATGTCGTTTTCAGTATGACGGTGAACACGCGAGCCGATCTACGCTGTGCGGCTTTGCGAATGATGGAGATATTTAGTAGGTCGTTCCTGTGACTCCGATAACCATACCCGATACTCCGCCGATGCCCTTAAGCATGCATTGGAGAGTTATAAGATATCGTTATCGCAAGGATCGGAACTGCCTGCTCAAACTATATAATTTCTGGCTTTCGTAGCAGTTTGTTTCTTCCCTCTACGCGTGCACAAAGTGCTTGGTAATGCCGATTGGGCCGATGCTCACGATCACATTTATTCGTGTCGATCAAAGGGATAGGAACCGTCTGTTTGTCTACATTAGCGAGTCTTAGTAGACCGTGCACACCCCTCCCCCCCCCCCCCCCCCCCCCCCCCGCTAAGCCCCTCCGCTACCCGGAACTCTACAGCCAAGGCCATCGGCGCGCGGGCGCAGTAGCGGTTTCTTCATAGCGGAGGGCTAGCGGAGGTGGAAACACGGTCTACTAAAACTCTCGCCAACGTACGAGCTAGTTTATTACGATGATTTTTCTGCAAACCGCATAAATCGCTGTTTTTCTTTTGTTTTTTAATAACAAACGAAACTCGTTTTGCAAACTTCTTTCATGGAGAGACGAATCGCTTGTGATGACCTAATGGTGCACGTCAAAAACCAGAATAAAGAAATGAAATATCTAATTGAGTACGTAACAATGAACAAATAGCAACTGCTGCCAGGACTGAAGTGAACGAACTGGAATGGCGATAGCAGGCAACTAAACCTTGAAGTTCATGGCGTCCCGTACACAGAAAAAGAGGACCTGCTTGACACGATAAACTATGTAGCCTTAAAGCTAGACGTACAGCCACTGACGGCGAATGAGGTTGACGCAATACACAGACTACACGCGAATTTAGACAAAGTGCTTGGCGTCATTATAAGGTTCACGAAGCAAGCCACCCGCAGTCTGTGGCTGAACAACAGAAAAAAGCTTAAACAGGAAGAGAAAGTTCACCTGCTAGGGGAGGTGTGTGTTTACTAGTTAATAAATCAATAAAATGTGAACTTTGGGAAGACTTCTGCGGTGTCACCCACGACTACGAAGTGCTTTCTGTAAAAACAGGTAACACTGACAGAGGTTTGCGTTACCGACCACCAGATGGCCATACTGATGAAGTCTTTGAGTTTTGTGAACGGTATTTACACGTCGTTCATGAGAATCATTATGATTTAATCCTGGGCGGTGATTTTATTATTGATGTGTTGAAAGATAGCGCTTCAAAACGTGCAATAAATATTTTAATTGAAACAAATGGATGTGTCAAGGCTATTAAATCTACTAGAGTAACGGTGCGTAGTGAACCAATGATCGACCTTTTTAGTACGAACGTACAGCCTCATCAGATTAAAGCCGGAACGCTAAGCTATGATTTAAGTGACCACCTTCACATATTCCTGTGTTGAAACAAAAAAAAAAGAAACATAAAAACACTAAAATAACGAAACTTTTGTTTTTTCAAGAAATAACAAATGTGAGTTTTAATTTTTTTAAAGCTTATATTTCTTAAATAAATTAGAATTCAATACTAAAATCAGAATATGTCAATTAGCGTATAATCTGTTTTTAAAAGACGTTACCATTGTCTACAAGCGTTATTTCCCTTATACAACTTTGAAAGTTTCCGGAAACATCCGAAAGCAATGGATCACGCCTAAATTGCTGCATAAAATTAAAAAAAAAAATTTATACCAGAACATTTTTAAAATAAGGAATCCGTCTCAGTTCTTAAACATCGATATCAATTTTTTTTAAATACTGCGAAATGTTAAGGCAGTTTATCATACCAAATTTTTTTCAGGCGCAATCCAGACGATCGGACGTTATCTGGAGGAAATTAAACTCTGTCTTAAATTGCGGTTAAAATTGGCAGCCTGTAGGACAGCATTGATCACGGGGTGGTGCCATTGGCTGTTTGTTCCTTGACTAACACTTTCAGTGACTACTTCACGAACCTGGTCGGTGACAGTACGAGAACAAACACGTTTAGCAATAAGATACAATACAATACAATATTTATTTTGCGTGCTTACCAACAGCCGGCTGGCCTTTGCGGTAAAGCACAATGTAAGACTTACATTTCCGTTACAAAAAATACATTCATAACCAAACCGATTTTAAAATCATGCACATGTGTAAAACATATGGGGCAAAGTTGTACAAAAAATATCAATGCCGCAATACTTCGTGTGAAGGACATGTTGAATTCGTGATAGAGGTGACAAGTTAAGGGGATTTGGATAAAACACTCTACGATTTCTAGAACTTGTGTTAACAAGAATGCGAAAATGTAAAGAAGCAAGCA